GAGGTTTCAGTGCTGGCTGAATGGCCAATTCCTGGCTGACTTCAGGGACCTTTGACCCTGGCAGACAGCACAGCAGCAGCTTGTGTCCTCTGCTCTCCTCAGCTGAGAGGGCAGATGGTGGGCAGGGACCTCAGGGCACCACTCTTGGAGGGAGGCAGAGCTCAGGGGTGTGCCAGGGAAAACCTAACTGGGGAGGCAGGTGGAAGATGAAGACTTAAGCTAGAGACTCCCCAAAAAGTCAGAGTTTGGTAGAACCACCCACCAGTCTTGTCCTTTGCAGTTCTTCTGAAACTATCAAGAAGGAAGGGGGCTCCTCTGGGAAAGGCAAACAGCAGGGTACCTCTCAAATGGGCAGCTCACAGAACCATTGCTAAGGTGACACTCGTCCATCCTTTTCAGCATAAGCAAAAGAAAGATCACTCTGGAATAGACAGATAACCCCTTGCTGCCCCATATGCTCCCCTCACCCCGAGATCCCAGCCTGCTAGATGCTGCTTGTCTCAGTGGGGAATAAATAAGCAATAGACATGAGAGTGGAACATCATGATGACTCCTGCCAAAGTCAGCTCAGGGTCTGCTTGGCTTGAAAATTGGCAAGGAGGAAATGAGCTACTCACTGAAAGTGGGGGAGGGAAGATGGCTCGGTCAGCCCCAAACCCTAATCATCAGGGGCACACTTGAGCTGTCTTCAGGACACTGCGATGGGAAGGGATTTGGCTTTTCCTTGAACTTTCTGGGTGAGCAGCAGTTCTAACTTGCTGATGCTCAGAATGCATTCTCCACTCTGCCCTGGGAAGCCCAGGAGAATGCGGAGGGTGGCTTCAAGTGGTGACGCCAAAACCACTACCTCCATGACCATTAGACAAGAGAACATGGGGTTACCCCACGACACAATTTTGGAGGTTTGATCAAAGAGAGAACTTCCTGATTGATTAAAAAGGCAGTTGGGCAGCATTATGCCATTAAATATGAAAAGTTAGATAAAATGGGCAAAGTTGTAGAAAAATGCAGATTACCAAAATTGACAAAAGAACAGAAAGCCTGTATAAGGGAGGGGAATATCACATGCTGGAGTCTGTTGGGGGTTGGGGGGCAAGGGGAGAGATAGCAGGGTGTGGGGAGATTGGGGAGGGATAACATTAGGATAAATACCTAATGTAGGTGACGAGGGGATGGAGACAACAGACCACCTTGGCATGTGTATACCTAGGTAACAGTCCTGCAAGGTCTGCATATGTGCCTCAGAACTTAAAAACAAAAAGCCTGTATAATCCTATAACGGTGAAAGAACTTGAATCCTGCTGAGCTTGGTAGCTCATGCCTATACTGCTAGTACTTTGGGAGGCTGAGGCAGGAGGATTGCTTGAGGTCAGGAGTTCAGGACTAGCCTGCATAGTATAGTGAGACCCTGTCTCTACAAAATTAAAAAAAAATTGGCTAGGCATCTTGGTACGTGCCTGTAGTCCCAGCTACGGAGACTGAGGTGGGAGGATCACTTGAGCCCAGGAGGTTGAGGCAGCAGTAAGCTATGATCATGCCACTGTGCTCCAGCCTGGAACACAGAACAATATCCCATCTCTCTAAAAAAAAACCCAAAAAACCAAAAAACAAAACTTAAATCTTTAATGAAAGATCTCTGCACAGAGAATGCCAGGCTCCAATAGCTGCCCTTCCTTTCTTGTTATTGGGCATCTGCTGCCATTCATTTTTTTTCTTTTTCTTCTTTTTTTTTTTTTTGAGGTGGAGTCTCACTGTGTCACCTAGGTTGGAGTACGGGGGCACGATCTCGGCTCACTGCAACCTCTGCCTCCCAGGTTCAAGCGATTCTCCTATTTCAGCCTCCCAAGTAGCTGGGACTGTGGGCATGTACCACTATGCTAGGCTAATTTTTTTGTAGTTTTAGTAGAGATGGGGTTTCACCATGTTGGTCAGGCTGGTCTCAAACTACTAACCTCAAATGATCTGCCCGCTGTGGCCTCCCAAAGTGCTGGAATTACAGGAGTGAGCCATGGCACCCGGCCATCTGCTGCTATTCATAAAGCCAAAGCTTCAATCGGCATCCTCCTCCTTAGACCTATTTTCTGTACATTAAAACCTTGAGACAAAGAGAGTTAGGTCTTAATCTTCCTTCCCCTCAAATCAGAGGAGACATCCTGCAGCACCCTTTTCATAAAAAGCTCCATTTATTTGCAGATTGGAATGGTAATTGAAAGACCTTTCATGATATTATTTATTCAGTCTTTGCATCAAGCATGCCACTCATTTAATCTGCACAAGTGTCCTGCAAGAGAGACACACTAGGATCCCTGTCTGAAGCTTGTTCTCTTCCCATGATACTTCCCTGCTGCCCCAGAACAAGCCTACTCCTCCCTCAGGGATAGGAGCATCATGATTGAGTCCTCCCCACTCTCCACTCTCATCACTAGCCATCAACATCTAGGCCAGAGTTCCAGGCCCCTCTGCCTTGATGACAATGCTTGGGAATTTCTTCAGTTGGTCAATGACCCTTCTTACACAGTTGTCCCCAGAACTGAACCTGGCATTGAAAGGTACAGTTGGCTATCCTGGTTGTGTATTGCTAAATTAGAAATTACCCCAAATTTAGTGGTGTAAAACAACCATTTATTATGTTTATAGATTCTGTGGGTAGGGAATTCAGATGGGGTACAGCAGGGAAGCTTTGTCTCTGCTCCACAGAATATGGGCCTCAGCTGGAAGTTTCGAAGTCTGAAGGTGACTCAACTTTTGTGGGCTGGCATCATTAGAAGGTTTGCTTACTCAGGCATCTGGTGATTGGGGCTGGCTGTCAGCTGGGACTTAGCTGGGACTCTGGGCCAGAATATCTCCGTGTGGCCTGTCTAGAGAGCTTGGGCTTCCTCACAGTATGGCAGCCAGGTTCCCAGGAGATAGTGACAGGTGAAAGCCACATGACCTCTTAGGATTTAGCTTTGCTGGTTGTACAGCATGACATTTCTACATTTCATTTGCAAGTCCTGCCCAATTTCAAGAGCAGGGCTGTCAAGATTCTAGCAAGGGTGTCAATATTCTAGGTGGCACTGGAGATACTAAGTAAACCTTTTAAGAATATGTCACGTGGCTCATCTACCTAACTCAGAGGAAGATCTCCATGCAGGAGGGCCTGGGAGACACTCAGGGTGCTAGAACATCATTCATTCAGTCAGCACAAGTGATCAGAGTCTACCATGTGCCAGCAGCTATCCCCTCATGCCCTTGGTGATTCACAGCTGCACTGCTTTTCAGCCCCAGCCCTGCCCAGGTTCCCTCATTGAGGCCCTGCCAGATTTGATCAAGATGAGAGAACTTTGGCCTCAATTCTCTTCAGCCTCCTGGGAAACCTCCCTGTGGGGGCTGCTGTCGAATGGAAGGTTTATGCACCTATTTCTCCAAGGTGTAGGCATGTTGAATAGTTTCTATTTATTGAAGAATAAAACAATAAGTTTTTATTTATATATAGTTCTTGTTTTTTTCCCAAGGGACAAAACAGGGTTCCTCAATTAGAAAGAGGTTCCTGCCCTTCAGTAGGACTTAGAAATGGGAGAATCCATGTGTGAATTAAGTCACTGCAGTATAGAGAAAGAAGTTGGGAGCTCCTCTAACCCTTTCTTTAGCACAGGAGCATGGCTTGTACAGCTAGTTCACTGGCTATTATACTGGAAAGCGTACTGAGTGGGTCAAGACAAGTGGAGGTATAGCTAGCATAATAATCACAATAGGGCTAGGCACTGTAGCTTACACCTGTAATCTCAACACTTTAGAAGACAGAGCTTCAAAGACTGACTGAGCCCAGGAGTTCAAGATTAGCTTAGGAAACATAGTGAGGCTCTATATTTACAAAACAACCCAAAATAACAAAATTAGCTGGGCATGGTGGTGCACACCTGTCATCCCAGCTACTCAGGAGGTTGAGGTGGGAGGATTGCTTGAGCCAGGGAGGTTGGGGCTACAGTGAACCAAGATGGCATCACTGCATTCCAGCCTGGGCAACAGAGCAAGACCCTGTCTCAAAAAGAAAGTAAATAAATAATCACAATAATAACGACTATATATCATATTCTGGGCTCTGAGCATTTTATATAACATTATGAAAATGATATTAATACTTTTCACCACAATTGTTAGCAGATTAAATGGAATGAATGAGGAAAGTAATTTCTCTAAGGCCCAGAGTCATTAAGTAATTTGCCCAAGAGCACACAGATAAGATGTGGTAGAATTGGGATTTGAATCCAGGCCCATAGTCCAGAGCCTGTCCTCTTAACATTGGGTCCTGATATGCAGCTAGCAGGCCTAACAGCTTAAAGGGAGGGGTGGGAATTGGAATACAACAGGCGAGGCACACAGGCTCTGGGTGTTGGGTCTCTCTTGGTTAGACACCAAAGACTCATTTTGCAGCCTGAGTCTCCTCATCTGGAAATGGGGATAATACCTACCCCAGTGAGTTATAGAAGGCACTAGCACAGCACTCTAGACCCAGTGGGTGCTCAGTGCACCGTTGGAGAGTCCCTTTCCTTTTCTCCCCTGGGCTGCTCTATGGAGACAACTTTCCTGCCCAGGGAACAGGGAGATTGGCCAGGATGACTTTGTTATCTGTGGCAACTGTTAGGGAACCCTGGTTCCCTAAGCTTCTGCTGGATGTCAGAATTCCAGTCCCTCTCCACTGTGCTTTTCATTGGCAGAACTTTAAATGATTTTATAAAAACTGCAAATGTACAAGGTAATTGAGTCTTTTGTTTTATTACCCTGAGCTGCCTGGACCTTGCCCGGCCTCCTCCTCACTCACCGAGCCGCCGGAATAAAGTTGGAAGTGTTTGCACTGGTAATATATAGGACTTAATTAACCTGGCCTTTTATAGCATTTCCAATGGAGGCTTGGAACGAACTTTGAGGCAGCTTGAGAAAGGGAAGGGGGGGCCTGGGGTGAGAGTGTGTATGTACATACAACACTTGATGTTGGTTTTTTCTTCTGTTCTTTTCTCCAGTACTTTAATCAGCATTTAATGACCCAGTCGAAAATTCATCGTTTGGACCCAAGCACTGGTGGGAAGGCAGGAGGGGAGGCCTGCCTGCCTCCCTCCTTCCCTTCCTCCTGAGCCCTACAGCAGGCCATGGAGTGGTGAGTGAGTTCTTACTGTGCCAGCCACATTCCCAGAAACTTCCCGCAGAGGTTAACCCCGCTCCTCTCAGGTAGAGACAATGAATGGACATTAACAAATGGACTCCCTGTGTTGGCTAATGCCACTCCCTACTCAAATGCAGACCAACCTAGGATGGCTCCAATGGCTCATGTCCCAGTTCCCGGGCCTTAAGGCTGTGTTAATGTGCTATCCTGCCTGCCCCTTCATCCCTCCCCTCCCAACACGAAGCCATGCCTGAACTGGACACCCTTCCATACCAACCCAGGGAAAAGTGATTCAACTCCAGTCCACCCTGGGTGCAGCAGTCCTTCTGCCAAGATGTCTTCATGCCGTATAGCTATTATTTTCGGGAGGATTCCAAGTGAGGGCAGTCAGGGTAAGTGCCTCTTACCAGCTGCCTGCTCAGACCATTGCTCCACACACCCTAGCTCATAAATCCTCCCCCAACGCTGCTGAGTGGTTACATCATCCCCAAACCTCATGCAACAATTCGATTTGGAAATAAAAAGGCAGGTGTTAATTGACTCACTCCTTCTGCCCCTTTACGGTGCCCTGACCCTCGATAGCTTTTAACCTCGCAGTTAATAAAAGTTTTGGGCTCAGCCCTAGCACAGTTCCTCATTCATTCTTTTACAACGTCAGCAAATTCTTCCTGAGTGAGTACAATGCACAAGTCATTGGCCAGAGCCTTAGGGAAGAGGGTTAGGTGGCTAAAGATGAGCAAGAAGCACTTCAAGCATTTCATGCCTTAGGAAAGCCTACAGAGGATACTCATAAGTAACACGGATTTGGGCAGCAGTGCTGTAGGCTTCCAGAGAAGGCCTGGGGCAGCCAGTATTTTAGAAGCATCTCCAGCTCTTGAGTTTGCCTGTTCAGTATCCATCCCTCATCCAAGAGCACCCAGATTCTCCTTTGGAGAACCCACGTCTCTCATTAAATCTATGTGGTTCCAAGTGGGGTTGAATGTCTGGGGTCCCCAGGAGTCAGCCCAAGAGTAGAGCTGGCCATTCAGGGCAGCTTAGCCCCCAGCCGCAGTGATCAGTTCAGCCATGGGCATGAGACTTGGGCTGGGCCAGTGAAAGCTATTGCTGCAGCTCCTGGGAAGGACGAGCTCTCTTTTTCCACTGGAACTGGCCAGAAGTAAGCCTGGAGCTGCTAGCAACCATCTTGCCCTCACTCAGGAGAGGCTTCATGAACCTAAGAGTGAAGCCCATCACTTCATTTGCTCCCGAGGGACAGCCTCTGACTTCAGGCCCCTACTGTCTCCTACCCCATAATGAGAAGCTCTTGGTTTTTAGGTGTGTTTATTACCCAGGCCCAAGAAACTCTCTGTCTCCCTTCAACTAGTCTGTGCCCAAGCAGAATATCAAGGAAAGCAGAGCTGAGAAATGAAAAGGAAAAGATGGTTAAGGATGTTGGGGAGCTGGATCCACCCCTGCCGAAGGTTTCTTAACCTGTACTTTCACTCCTCAACTCAAGGGTGGGCCAAGGAAACATGTTTTTTTCTGTTGTTGTTGTTGTTATTTTGTCCACTTCCCTCTTTGTGACAGAGTTAGCGAAGTTCAGGGTCGGGGGTTGATAATGCATCATTTGGGGGTCCCTTGTTTTTAAAATTTGCACTTGTGTGACTCTGAAGTGAGTGCCTTCTTAAATTTTGTACCCTAGGTGCCTCTCTCTTTTCCCTATTCCTGGCCCTGCTTAGATTGCTGGAGGTCCGCCCCTGTCTGTCCCTGGACCCAGCCTGAAGAATTCAGAGTTAATCACCCTTGTCTTTCCTCCCCCACAGGTAGGCTTGGCCCATTCTCTAGACCTTGGAAGATAATGTTCCATAGAGGCCTGTTCTGAGGCTTTACCAGGTCAAAGCAGAGAAGAACCAAGCAATGTAACTCATCCCAGCCTAACTATCCTTCAAGGGCAATCAACCTACAGCATCCAAGCACAGAGAAATCAAATCCATGGAGAATCTTTCAATTAGGCTCAGAATTTATTTGGGACACTGGATTTACTGTTATCAAGATCTTAGTTGATTTGATCCATGATTTGACCTACTTTAGAGTGAGAAGATAGTCTTCCTGGGCTCAGACTAGTTGAAGGTAAGGAGACAGGCCACTGGGTGTGGGGAGACCTCTCGTGGGATAACGCATACACAAAAAACCAAGAGCTGCTCACTGTGGTGCAGGAGGCAGCAGGGGCCTGAAGCCAGAGGTTCTCTCTGTGTCCTTGAATACACTACTCCTCTGACCCATTACTGTGGTTTGGAGAGACAGACAATATAGGATGGGCTCTGCAGGCAGGGAGGTCTGATCATAATCCCAGCTCTTCCTAAATTGGGTAAGACTCACTCTGAGATTTAGTTTCCTCTATCATCTCTCAATAGAACCATAAAGGTACTTTCCTCTTAGTATTGTTTTAAAATTCAGTAAAATCATAAAGGTTTAGCACAGGGTCTGATATAACTTTTCAATGAATTATTGTTGTCAGTATTGTTCTAGAAAACAGGAGAGCATATTAGAAGGTCAGAAGTACTGCCAACCGCTGAAGTGCCAATTCTAGATCCAGTCTCAGCCTTTGGAGAACTGATATCATTGTTTTCAAGCCATTCAAAAACCAGTGTGAATTGAACACCTAGTATGAGCTCTCTGGGGGAAGAGCTAAGTCCTGTGTTTTTGATCTTAAGGGGTCTTCAGTACCTCTAGCCCACAACAGTATCTCCATTAGGATTCCTCTCTGATAGTGTTCATTTCTTTTTTCTCAATGGATGCCTTAAAAAAAAATCCTTGAAGAAAACCTGTACTCCTCAAATACACCACTCAGGAAACCTGTTCTCCTCAGTGGTCACTCAGGTGACCATTAAATCATTTACATGGTTAATTTCTTTTCAGATATGTGTCTTTTTCCCTAGTTACATAATCAGAACCTTGAAGGCAAGGACAGGTCTTAGACTTCTTGATGCCCCCATACATCTAGGTACAGAGTAGGCCCCTGGACATCAGTATAAGGCCCATGAGCCTGATAGCTGCCCAGGTGGGTACTGTGTGCCTGGGCCTGGGAAGGACAAAAGAAAGGGCACTAAAGGGGTTCCTGGGAATGAAGAGGCCCTCTGACTTTAGAAGGGAGCCCGTACACTTTCTGGACAACTGAAACAATCAGAAAGTTTTTCCTGGAGCAGCAGCAGCCAGAAAGACCTGGGGAATCGGGTAGACCAAAGCCCTTCCAAAGGCTGCAGTGGCTCAGCCAGTTAGCCCAGCCTCCCTACCAGCCCCAGAGCTGCAACTGAACAGTGTTGGCCTTTTAATAAAAACAGCACCAAAGCAAAGCCCTAACTTCACTGGAGAAATAGCCCTGCGCCCTTCCATCCATTAACATTTTGCACCTTAATGCGGCCATATTTTTGGAAAGCCAATTCACATTGGCTGAGTAGCTTATTGGTATGCAGCTCTGGTTAGAGGTGGGGGATCCTGGGAGGGGGGCACTCTGCAAAGGGAATGTAATTAAGCCTCAGAATGTTCGATATATGCCCCAAAAAGGGGGGCAGTACTTGGGGGACCTAGAGCAAGAGTGATGGGCTTGTCCGAAAGGTTTGTGTGTATGAAGGCTTGACTGTTTCTGGGAAGTCCCACCGTGACTGCCACCCTTGCTCACCCCTAGCCCCTAGCCCCCACCAGAGCAGGGCCACCCACTCACCCTTTGGGTGTCTAACTTCAAATTTCCCAAGCAGACCCTATCGGGCAGCTCTTCTCAAATAAAATACATCATCATTTGCTCCATTAGAAAATAAATGTATGGCTATATTATGGGATTTGCATTCCATTACCTTGGTTTGCATGCCATAAAACATTTATTACACCCTTGGGCTAAAGTCTTAATAATGACTGGGTGTGAGGCACTAATGTGGTGCTGGTCTTGCTCAGGAACCAGAGATTAATGCCTTTTGATGTCACTCAGCTAATAGTTGTGCTCACCAATTTGTCCCATCAGAAGACATTAGAGTCAGGCCCTGTGCAAGGGTGGGGGAACCACTGCTCAGCTTCAGCTGGGAATCAAGGCTCTCTGTTCAAAATGGCTGGAATGATATCTCAGAGTTCCCCCTCTTTAATCCCCCATTCCACTTCTACCCCCACCCCAGCCTTGGCCAAGTCCCCACCCCTGGGTGTGAAAGCTACAAAAAGAGGTTTAAATGTCTGCCCTCCTGTCAGACAGCAGCGGAGGTGGCAGCAGTCATGGGTGGGCATGGATATGTGTGTACATGCATACACACACACAAACACACACTCCTCCCTTCCCTGTTAAGGAATTGCTTCACCAGGCCTGCCTCATTCAGATACAGAAGCCCAGCAGCCCAGTAGAGGAGGCTCCAGTCCAACTTCACTCCACCGCTAGACCTAGGCGCAGACCCCAGCCCAGGAGACAGGCCCAGGACGGCACCGAGCAGATGCTTTGGGGCTGTATCGTGGGTCTTTCATGTCATCAGATGACTTGGTTGGAGCAGCCCTGTGGCCAGGCCTTGGGGAATGTCCTCTTGTGGGTTGCTGTGATTCTCTGTGGGGTCCTGGAGCATCCTTCTCCGAGACTAGAGATCTCACTACTTCTTTTGCTCAAAGCCATGGTCAGGAAGTAGCTAGTTACTTCACCCTTCTGTCTCCGTTTCTCCACGTGGAAATGCTGGCATTTAGTGTATGTGTGTGTGCATGTGTGTGCGTGAGCCAGGGGTGCTGGCTGCATCCTGCAAATGTGTAGGACAGTTTCGCCCAGGGAATAATTCTCCCACATTCCATACAACTTTTGAAATGACCACCCAGGTTGCTGTGTACTCCACTTCCATGATGAAGTAAATGGCTGTGCAGTGCACAATCTATACAACCGTCAGAGAGGTCCTAGGTTTGACAGTCATCCCGGTGGAAAAACCTGTTTACAGTGACCAGAGCTCTAAATCTTACTGTTTTACATATAAGCACGGAGTATTTTTGCATGGCTCTGATGCACACTGGATTTTCTAGCACTGAATCTCTTGTGGCAATTGAGAAGGAAATCGTCCTCTGTTCTGTGTAGATCATTACCAAGCATTGTGCACCATTTCGGAAACCACCATTCATGCAGCCATGCTGTGGCCCTTAAGTCAACAGGACACTGCCCTGTGGCAGGCGGCACTGACAGCAGTTCCACTGTGTGGTTTTGTTTTTAGGTGCAAGCATTCTACTTTTTAAATTATTCCTGAGCATTTACATATTGAAATATATATTTAATTATAACTTACTCTCCTTTGATTTCTCCTTTATCTTACAGCTGGGTCAATATATTGATTTTTTAAAAAATTCCATGGATAGGTTTCTTATGTTATCTCTGCTTTCCATTCTGAGATAGCAAATGGGGTGTGACAAACCTGGTAATAAAAGAAAGCTGTGGGTCTGATGGGCTGCATGCTGAAGCCAGAGAATTCTAGCCTCAACATCTCTAGGAAGCCTTTTCTGACCACTTTTACCCCACGCTCCCACCCAAAGCCTGCTTTCCTTCCTCCCTGAAATAAAGAGCTTCAGAATGCCTACTTTCTCCTTTTTTTTTCTTGATCATCTCAGGAACAATCATGTCAACTGTACCCCAAGAAACATGAAAAGCTCACCAAGGACAGCTTTGAAGTGGTCACTCTTCATGGCCCTGACCGGGCCCTGGAGTAAAGGACACCAGCTTGGTGTGCTGACCTGAAAGACATGAGTCTGGCAGTGATAGGGCCCCTGGGAGCAGAAACCAGAGACAGGCACCCACAGCAAAGGCATGCAGAGTCCAGAAAGCCCCATCACTCAGCCTGAGAGAGCTGGGGCAAAATAGAGGGCCTCAAGACTCTAGAAGAGACGTTTCATAAGTCTCATCAAATTAAAGACTAATTAGAAAAAAAATTCATGGGAAATCATTGAAAAACAAGTAAACCATCCAAAGCCTGAGATTGTTTAAAAACAGCTTATTGGAAGTCCAAAGACTGGACAAGTTGAGGAATAAAGAAAACATCTTATGTGATGAGATGGTGACTTTAAAGCGACTTCTGTGGCAAAGAGGCATCCTTTGCAAATGGGAAGATTGGCCAAGCTCAGAGAACAGGGTTTAGGTAAGTTAATGGATGACAGCACCATAAAAGGTTATTAAGGGGAACCTGGCTCTGCTTAGGAGCTGCACTTGTGATATCTGGGGAATGACTGCACATTCCCAAGGCAGGATCCTTGTGTCCTACCCGGAGATAGACAATGGGCCCAGAACCCAGAAAGAAGGAGGCACTGCTGGGTCTCTGGTTATTTCTAGGGGTCCTCCATATGGATGTGATAGTCCACTTCAATTTTTCTTTTTTTTTTTGAGACGGAGTCTTGCTCTGTCACCAGACTGGAGTGCAGTGGTGCGATCTTGCCTCACTGCAACCTCCACCTCCCAGGTTCAAGTGATTCCCCTGCCTCAGCCTCCTGAGTAGCTGGGACTACAGGCATGTCCCACCACGCCTGGCTAATTTTTTGTTTTAGTAGAGATGGGGTTTCACCACATTGGCCAGGATGGTCTTGATCTCCTGACCTCGTGATCCATCCTGCTTTGCCTCCCAAAGTGCTGGGATTATAGGCATGAGCCACCAGACCTGGCCTCAATTTTTCAAAGAAAGAAAAAAGGAAAAATGCTCAGACTCATGCTGAATTTTTGGAAAGTCGATTTTCAAATGCGTCTGTGTTTCAGGTTAGAAGAGTTATGAAAGAAAACGCAGGAGGAGCATAGTGGATAGCCTTCATCACTGGGTTCCAGACACTGCTTGAGTTCAGGTCCCACCCCACCACTGCATAGCTGGGTGACCTTAAGCAAGTTACTTAACCTCTCTGTGCTTCAGTTTTCTTCCCTCTGGAATGGGGTAATATTACTTTGCTGGCTTATGAAAATGAAATGAGTTAATATGGTATATGCTTAGAATAGTGCATGGCCTATGGTGAGTGCTCAGTGTCTGCTTAGGTTGTTGTTACTCTCAAGAAAAGGGCCAAGTTGCATTAGTTCCCACTCCCTTCCTGCTGATTAACCAATGAAGGGTGGCTTTGGGAACATAAGAGAGGAGTCAGGGCAGGCATATGTGCCTCTTACTTTCCTGGAGGAGCCCCAGTGAGGAGGTCAAGTGCCCTGGTCCTGGTTCTAAATCCACTGTTTAGAGTAGCAAGTATATTTGAAGTGGAGATTACCCCTTTGGCCGCAAAGATTCAGCTAGGTAGGGGACAAGGAGTGACTGTGTCACTATAAAGTTATCTACATAGGTAATCTGTGCCTCCCAAAACATTTTGATTAGAGAACATTGTGCTTAGGAGGGATGCTCCCTCTAGGCCATGGGAACAAATAGGTTTGAGCTCTTTTGTATATACCATTGCTTGATAACAGCTGTGGGCTATATCCTATTGGGGATTCTGAATCCACATCCGAATGTTGGGGAAAGGGTGCCAAGATCAAACAGTGATGCAGGCTAGGAACACAGGATACAGGAGTGTCAGCACTGGCTGGAAAGTAAAAAACCCTGTCTGCCCATAATAGCCTGGCCAGAGGTAGCCTGGGTTCCTAGATATGGCATCCACATCCCGAGCAATGGTAAGGCAAAATGACTTCTCTGCCCTCCTCCACCAGGCCTGGCAGCCCTGGGAGCTTCTCCACTCCTGGGGTCACCTCCCAAATCCTTATCTCAGAATCTGCTTCTGCCAAACTAAGGCAGAGGTTAGCTGGCTGCACCACTTTGCGTTACTGAAGCGAGATAATTGCCAACACACTTGCCCACCAGAAAGGCCATATGTGTATCTATCTGGCTATGTATCCACCTAGCAAGGCCTACACACAGCCCAGAAAGAATCAGAACATTTGCATCTTTAGGAAGAAGTTCCCTCCTCCAGCTCAGGAAATTGTCCCTGTACCCCCCACCCAGAAAATCTTGTAGCCTGTGATGAGATCGCTCTCTCTGGTTCTCTCTCACCAGCCGTCTGTTCCTAACAACCCCACCCACGCACCGGAGCTTCTCTGACTTGATATTGCAGGATGCTGTCACTTGAAATTAATTGCAACTAATTAAAAATGATCCGGTTAGGACAATTGCACAATGGTGCTCCGGAGACTGCTTCATTCCCAGAGGTTTGGTGGCGTTTGCGGCTGCTGCAGCCCTGGTCTGCTGGACGGGGCCATACATCATTGTGTCATTTTACATTGTTATTTCTCTGAAAGCAGCAATTTAAAAGAGTCTCAGATGAACCTTGAGCAACTTCGTGCTAAAAAGAAAAATGTTACTGTCCAAGATCTGTAAAATATAACATATAGGCTCAAAGAAGCCTCTTGACATGAAAGGCGGCCCTAAGTTTGTGCCACGATTTGCATATCATATATAATGTTGTAGTAAAAGGACCCACAAAGCAGAAGGCAGCTGCGGAGCATCGATCCTCATCCCCTTTGTTCAAACTGGGTCACCTACTGTCCCTGGTTATTATTTTATCACAGCCATTCCTCACGTAAGGTGACAGGACAGCATCTAACCTACTGGGTTCCGAGGACTGCCACACCTCCCCCTTATTTAGTAGAAGACCCAAGGGTCCTTCTTGGCTCTGATTCTGAAAGCATTGCAGGTCCTGCTTCGTCCTGCCATTTTCCAAGCTGATCCCAGGAGCAGTAGTCCTGTTAGGAAGAGCCATTTATTGGACTTGTGTAAGGCCCAGTAAACCTCGAGTTAGGGCATTGAACCTCGATAAGCATCCAGAATGCCCCCATACCTCACTAGGAGGGACTTCAGGCAGCTTAAATGAATTCTGGCCCTATGTTCTTGAGCTACAAATCATTCCTCTTAGGCTACCTGCTGCCTCATCTAGCTCTGTGGTCTCCATGGTGCCCTTCAAACCCCTCCACATCAACAGGACAGGCGAGAAGCAGGCATTTGAGCAGAAAGGGGTATGTCCCAAAAGCATCTTCCAAAATTATTCTTCTAATCCTCTGGCTCATTCTGCAACTTTAAAAAATGAGCTGATTTTCAAGGGTACCAATAAGAATAACAAATCTCTGCAAAATAGAAAGGTTCAAAAATAAAAAATCAAGACCTTTAAAATGAAAGGTCCAGGAATAGAAAGGACTAGACAGAAGAGATGAAAGGAGAAAGAATAGTAAAGAGATATGCAGATAAATCTTATGTAATTACTAAAATTTGACTCTGGGCTTCCTGGAGGCCAAAGCAAAGAAGGAAGGACCCACAAAGACATATGATTAATTACATATGATTAATTACAAATGTTACACACAGACCAGCTCCTTAACAGAATCAAGGTTCTTTTGCATTGACCTCATTTGGGTCATGTACCTGACATCGCCCTCCACACACCCTCATACTTCAGTCAAGGGTAAGGCTCGTGGAGCTCCCTGCATTGGAAATGGATGACCTGGCAAGCCAACTGTCTTGGAAATCCAGGAGATTTGCATCACGTATGTGGTTCACTAATGGATGGTTTCATTCAGGGGTGAGACTTTAATACTGGAAAAGTGCAAGGACTAACTCCAACCTGACCATCGAATTATTTTCCATACAAAGTGTTTCTTTCAGCTCTGCTTTTATTGGAAGCTGAGCAGCAGACAGTTTGAGGTTATAGTTTCAAAGACTGGAATGCAAGTATTCAATATGCCTGAGAATTGGATTTAGATACATCAAACATAGCGCATCTGTACAGTGGGATACTATGCAAACATCGATAGGAACAAGGGAGACTTCACATGCTGTTAGGAAAGGTTAAGATACAGTATTAAGTGGGGAAAAAAGCAAGTTGCAAAACAGTGGGTATATTATTATCCCACTTGTATCAAAAATTAATAATAAAGCATGTGGGTACAGAAAATTTCTGGAAGGATACACAAAAATTGGTAAGTGTTTAACTTTGGATGAGAATTTTACAGCTTACCCAAGCCCTCCTTACTATAATTATGTATTGCTTTTTGATATGGTTTGGCTCTGTGTCTCTACAAATCTCACCTTGAATGTAATAATCTCCACAGGTTAAGGTGGAGATAATTGAATCATGGGGGCAGTTTCCCCCATGATGTTCTCATGATAGTGAGTGAGTGCTCATGAGATCTGATGGTTTTATAAGGGGCTTCCCCCTTCACTGGACTTTCATACTTCTCCTTCCTGCCATCATGTGAAGAAGGATGTATTTGCTTCCCTTTCTGCCATGACGGTAAGTTTCTTGAGTCCTCCCTGGCTATGTGGAAATGTGAGTCAATTAATCCTCTTTCCTTTACAAATTACCCAGTCTCAGGCAGTTCTTTATAGTAGCGTGAGAACGGACAAATACACTTTTAGATTTAAAAAATAGTTTTTGAAAAGTTAATTGAGAAAACAGTGCAGTTTTGTTAAAAAGAATGAAGCAGATCAGCATTACTGAAGAAATAAGATATGAAGGAAGAATCTGGATACATATGAAGTGGTTATCTTGGTTGCCAGGCCCATACCTGTAATCCCAGCACTTTGGGAGGCCGAGGTGGGTGGATCACTTGAGGCCAGGAGTTTGAGACCAGCCTAGTCAACATGGCAAAACCTCATCTCTACTAAAAGTATAAAAATTAGCCAGGCGTGGTGCTGTGTGCCTGTAGTCTCAGCTACTCGGGAGGCTGAGGCAGGAGAATCGCTTAAACCCCAGAGGTGTGGTGAGCCAAGATCTTGCCACTGTATTCTAGCCTGGATGAGACTCCATCTCAAAAAAAAATATATAAAATGAAGTGGTTATCTTGAGGAGGTAAAAGTACTACAGACTTCCACCTTCTAAATTAATTTCTGTAACATTTTTAATAAGTAGGTATTTACTTTTATAATAATAATTTAAAGGCACTAAGCCAAGACTATTAGGTTGACTTTTATGACAATAAAGAGGCCTAACCAAGACTTGTGGAAATGAATGGCCACCCTATCCCTTCAGGGCAGGGGCCAGGAAAGAATCTGCCGGCAAGAAAAGAATTTTTCTTAAGAAAACAGTGGGTTGTCTATTCTGGCACAAAAATCAACGAATGATCTTGACATTAACATTCTGGCCTCACGAGTAATAATGCTCATCTGGGAAGGTGCTTGTGGCTGAATCCTGAAGCTGTAGTGTTTTACATTTAAAAATTCCCATTGTTTCACAGTGAGATATATCGGAACTATTAACTAATTTGTAACAATTCTGGCTATTTCTTTCTCTGTCTCTCTCCAGCCTGCTACCCCTTCAAGCTAAGATGTTTTATGCTGGATGCCTCAAGGAAGAGAGGACAGCAGGAAGAAATGTCCTGACTTTTGACTTTTAAAAGCCTGGCTCAAAATGAGAAGAGTGAGGGGCAGGAAAAAGGGCCCAGGGAAAGAAGTAAAAAATAATGTATGAAAATATCTCACTGCCAAGACTAGCAAATGGGGACCTGGGAGGGTCAGAGGGGAGAATCTGAGAGGACCAGGACTGGCCCTGGAGGAACTGTGCTTGGAGCAGAGACAGCATCCAGGGAGCTCTGAACTTCCTCTTAGAGAAGCTGAGTCAGCACTCCTGGTCCACAGAGTCTCTGTCCAAAGGTTAAGATGTGGATCAAGAAAGGCTGGAAGGCTGCAGGACTTCAGGAGGGAATGTGGGAGGCTGCTCAGCCTGGGACACTATTGTTTAATGGTTTGAACCCAAACACTGGGAGCACTCAACAGAAATCTGTTGTGGTTTGGCAACAGCAGGTAGGTGTTTCCAGAGCTGATCGGATCCCTCTCTACCCTCCCCCTCTCTCTCTACCTGCTTCAGCCTTTGCTGTCACTGCCCAAGATCTTTGCTCCTCAGTCTATACAGCCTACCATGGCTGCTCTCAGACTTATACGTCCTTGATTTAACACCCAAAGCCAGACTGACTTCTTTCTCCATTCTCGGCCCCTTATTCCTGAGGCCATTTGTGATTGGCCCAGCTTGGATCAGGTAGGTACCAATCAGGCATTCATCCCTGGACCAATCTGTGGCACATGGGGCTGGAGTCCATTGTATTAAGTCTGCAGATACCAGGGTAATCTATGATGGGAGTGATGGGGTGGACGGGGTGGTCTCTGAAGGGAAAGCCATGACCATTCCCCTTGGCTTTCACTCTACTCTGCCTACCATCTTACCTCTGCCACCGTCTGCTCCTCGTGCCTGCCTGCCTCATTCAGTCTATTTTTTTTTGGAGAAGGAGTCTCACTCTGTTGCCCAGGCTGGAGTGCAGTGGCACAATCTCTGCTCACTGCAATCTCCGCCTCCTGCAAGTTTTTATTTTTATTGTGTATTTTTACACAATAAGAGTTTTTATTTCATATTTTTCTTAATACAAAAGCAACATGCATGCATTGTAGAAAGATAGACTCTTACGTGCCAAGAAGCACAAGTCTCTTGGATTTAGAAATCAAAAAAGACATGGTCCAGAGAGGGAGGTGAACAAGTAACTCAGTGACATTCGTACTGAACGTTGTGATTGGGCTTGTCTACTCCACTGAAGGGCGAGGCACTCGAGAGAAGAGACAATATCCACCGCAGCATCTAAGTAGTTCAAAATAGGGCATAGGTTTTCTGTAAGCACTTGCCTGACTTAATGAATGACTGTGCCCTGAGGCTCAGCCTTGCCAGGGTGGCTGGGAAATCCACTCAGCCTGGGACAGGATTGTTTAATGGTTTGAACCCAAACACTGAGAGCACTCAATACAAATCTATTGTGGTTTGATAAGAGTAGGTTGGTGTTTTCAGAGCTGACTGCAAGATCAGTCTAAGCCCCTGTGGGCAACAACCCCCAATCCAAGCCTGAGTCTCCTGGACTGTGTTCAGGTTTGGGAGAGTTTAAGGGTATTTTCCCAACTGGAGCCCTCTTTGGGTCTCCAAGGCACCCTGGATCTGTTTCCATTACAGCCCCCATTAGCCTCCAGGGGCTCTTTCTCATTCACAGCTTGGTTTTCCTAGTAGGCAGAGAGCCAGAGAAGGCAAAGACCTTTTCTTGTTCACCCCTGTGTCCTTGAGAGCTTCCTTCCAGAGAGAGGAAAGAAGGAAGGGAGGCAGGGAGGAAGGAAGGGAAGAGCCAATCTGCTCTTGTACACGGTGAAAAGTGAACCTTTTCCCAAGGCGCACAAGCTCCGCCCCTCTTGAGGGTGGTGCATGTGTCCCCCATCTTTTGCAACTGTCAGATGTGCACGGCTCACAGCTCAGCTCTTCACTGGACATTGCCCTTGGCTGCAGGGAACTGCTTTGCCCAAAGTAATGGCTCTATCTGTGTGGCCTGTGGCCAGTGACTGGCAGATGGAGACACAAAGGCCAACCCTTTGCTTCAATTGAGGACAACTCTGGGGGCCATCTCAGCTCCAGAGCATCCTCCAAGACTAGATGAGGTATCTGCTGCAATGACATTTGGGGTCACTTTCCCTCCTCCCAGTCCTGTCTTCTCAGTTTTCTTACAGATGTATCTCCTGAGAGCATTCCCCAATATACCTGAATGCACCTCCTTCTCTCAGTGGATCTTTCCAATCGAAGACACTCACCTTGCAGACTCTGGGTGCCCGCAGGATATCTGGAGCCTCCACTAAAGGCTGTGTTCACTCATCCACCTGGGATAACCTTTCCTAGAGACCAAGGAAGCTCTGCACACTGTTCTCAACACCAGACCATATGAGGCTGAGGGAGGGGCGCTGGAATTACAGAATCTGGAAGCCCTGGGTTCTGCCACTGGAGAGCCAGGTGACTTGGGCAACTCCATTCACTCCTTACACCCACAAGGTTCTCAAATGCAAAACAAGGAGAGGAATTTCCTACCTCATAGGGTTAATTCAGAATTCATAAGTGAATGGGATTTGCACAGTACTGGGCACAAAGTAGAAATACACGAGTGTGAAGAAAGTTTGGCTTTCAGAGCCTCCTGGCCACCTCCAGCTCCCTGCCTCCCTCTATCCCTGCCCTCTTTCCACACATCATTCCAGGACACGTGTGGCCAGCAGCAGAAGGGCCATCTGACCCCCACCAAGAGGCCTGTGGCTTTGGAACTAATATTACTTTCTTTGGGTCTCCACATCGACTTGGCATAGTCTGAAATGTAAGTCATCCCCCCTTCTCCCCTCTCCCTCTCCTCTTTTTTTTTCTCTTTCTGTCTTTCTTTTTCCTTTTTCTTGCTGATTTTATGAAAAGGGCTGGCATTTTGATTGTTCTATTTTCAGGTTTAATCCTTATTTTAATAAAGTTTTCACACACACACACACACACACACACACACACACACACACACAAAGTAAGTCATGGCCTGGCATGGTGGCTCATGCCTATAATCCCAGCACTTTGGGAGGCTGAGGTGGGTGGATCTCTTGAGGCCAAGAGTTCAAGGACAGCCTGGCCAACATGGTGAAACCCTGTCTCTACTAAAAATATAATACGCCAGCTGTGGTGGTACATGCCTGTGGATCCAGCTACAAGATGGGAGAAACACTTGAACCTGGGAGATGGAGGTTTTAGTGAGCTGAGATCATGCCACTGCACCTCACCCTGGGCTGCAGAGCAAGATTCCATCTCAAAAAAATAAATAAATAAAAAGATAAGTCATGCCTGCTGTTCCCATGGCTTCCTGTCCTCCTCAGGGTCTAACAGTTGGATCCCCTCTTATTTTTCTGACCCTTTTCTGCAACTGAGTCTCTTAATTTCCTCCCACATCAGCCTCTAGCTGTGTATCACGCACACCAGACAGACTCCCACCTGGGGTCTTTGCACTTGCCACCCCCGCATCCTAGAAGAGCTTTCCACCCAGCTCACTCTCTCTTCCCCTTCAAGTTCTTACCGAAGGTCAGAGAGGCCTTTCCTGACACCCCTGTCCCATTAAAAATAGCAAAACTCCCTGGCCCTGCCTATCCCAACTCTCCATTTCAGCACTCCTCACCATCCAACATGCATGGAGTTTCTTTATTCACTGCTTGTCTTTCTCCATTGGAAGAGAGGACAGGGATCTCTGCTTGTTTTGTTCTCTGCTGTCTCCCAGTACTTACAACGGCATCTGGCATGAAATATATGCCCAATATGTTTTGTTAAGTGAATGAATGAACCTGTTTGTATGCTTCACAGGCAGGTGAAACTGAGCAAAGCAAATCCACTAGTGAAACCATAGCAAATTGATGCTAGCCCCTGGAAAAGGAGAGATAAAAGTCCCCAAGCTTGCCTGGAATCAAAAGTTTGTCAGAAAACCAAACACTGCATGTTCTCACTCATAAGTGGGTGTTGAACAATGAGAACACACAGACACAGGGAGGGGAACATCACACACTGAGGCCTGAGGGGTGGGGGGCTGGGGGAGGAATAGCAGGGGGTGGGGGGATTGGGGAGGGATAGCATTAGGAGAAATACCTAATGTAGATGACAGGGCAATGGATGTAGAAAACCACTACCATGGTATGTGTATATCTATGTAACAAACCTGCACGATCTGCACGTGTACCCCAGAACTTAGAGTATAATAAATAAATTAATAAAATAAAAATTAAAAAATGATAAAGTTTGTGGCAGGCCAAGGCAGTACCTAGGGTCTTTTCTGCCACCCCAGCCTGGGAACTTCTTGAGGGTAGGAGCCATTGCCTCACTATCCTCTATTAGCTTCTTAGTGGCCAGCTCTGTCCCTGGAAAGTGCCTGATTTGCTTATGTGCCAATGCATCAAGGTGCTGGGAGCTGAGGGGAAGTGGCCTGTATCTTCAGGCACAGGGGCAAAGGCATCTGCACATGCTGACACAGTCATCTGTCTCTTGGTGCAGCCTTTGGTATTGGCCAGTGTTTCCCAAAGTATGTCCTATAGAACCCCAGTGCCAATAGGTATTAAGTGGAAAAATGGCTGCGATCTGATGAGTTTGGGATGGATTACATAAACAGGTTTCCCACCTCCAGGACTTTTCAGAGCCTTTTTTTTTTTTTTGAGATGGAGTCTTGCTCTGTCACCCATGTTGGAGTGCAGGGGCATGATCTTGGCTCACTGCAACCTCCACCTCCTGGGTTCAAGTGATTCTCCTTCCTCAGCCTCCCGAGAAGCTGGGACTACAGGTGTGTGCCACCACAACAAACTAATTTTTTTGTATATTTAGTAGAGACGTGGTTTTACTGTGTTAGCCAGGCTGGTCTTGAACTTCTGACCTCATGATCCACCTGCCTTGGCCTCCCAAAGTGTTGAGATTATAGACATGAGCCAACATCCCCAGCCCAGAGCTTTTCATACGTAAATATAAGCCCAAGCGGGGGCTTATGTTTTGAAAAGTTTTCCAAACTACCTGACCATTGGACCCATCTTTCTTTTTCTTTTTTCCTTTTTGAGATAGTCTTACTCTGTCATCCAGGCTGGAGTGTAGTGGCATGATCACAGCTCACTGCAACCTCCACCTCCTGGGTTCAAGAGATTCTCATGCCTCAGCCTCTCTAGTAGCTGAGATTACAGGCCTGTGCCACCATGCCCAACTAATTTTTATGTTTTTAGTAGAGACTGGGTTTTGCCATTTTGGCCAGGCCATCACAAACTCCTGGCCTCAAGTGATCTGCCCACCTGGGCCTTCCAAAGTGCTTGGATTACAGGCATGAGCCACTGAGCCTGTAGAACCCATTTTTCAAGGAGAATAAAAGATCCACAAAGTACGCTTTGAGCAACACTGGCTTAACCACACATCTATCAGAAATGCAAGGGATTCTGGAGGAAATCTAGTGCTCCACTCCCTCTTCACAGAGGAGGAAGCGAGAGAGGGAACTGGAGGTACTGCGGGTCACAAGGTAGATCAGCGGTGAGGCTGGGGCTATAATAAGCCAGCTCTAGCTTCCAGGGCCCATGCTGCTTTCAGTCTCCACTCTGGGGTTCTGGACCTTGGATTATCAGGCCTGCTTTGCTCACTTGCTCTTAAGAAGTGCCAGGAACTTAAAAAAGGAAAGGCCTCAGAGATGTGGAAGTCCCATTGCAGACGTCACTTGATGTTTTGGCCTCCGCTTCCTGCCATGACCCAACTCTGAGCTTGTAATCTGTGCCTAGGAGCTCAGTGTTTTTCATCTACACTTCCTTCCTTGTCCCTCCACCCCTCCTTGGCTTAGGTGTTGTATTAGTCCATTCTCATGATGCTGTGTAGAAATACCTGAGGCTGGGCATGGTGGCTCATGCCTATAATCCTAGCACTTTGGGAGGCTGAGGCAGGCAGATCACTTGAGGTCAGGAGTTCAAGACCAGCCTGGCCAACATGGCAAAATCCTGTATCTATGAAAACTACAAAAATTAGCCAGGTGTGTGGCACGCACCTGTATTCCCAGCTAGTTGGGAGGCTGAGGCAGGAGAGTTGCTTAAATCTGGGAGGTGGAGGATACAGTGAGCCGAGATGGTGCCACTGCACTCCAGCCTGGGTGACAGAGCAAGACTGTCTCAAAAAAACAAAACAAAACAAAACAAAACAAAACAAAAACCTAGGACTAGGTACTTTATAAAGAAAAGAGGTTTAATTGACTCACAATTCCACGTGACTGGGGAGGCCTCAGGAAACTTATAATCATGGTGGAAGACATTGCTTCACAGGGTGGCAAGAGAGAGATGAGTGTCTTCACTTGGGCGAAGGGGGAAAGCCCCCTTTAAAACCATCAAATGTTGAGTGATAACTCATTATCACGAGAACAGCATGGGGGAACTGCCCCATAGTTCAATTATCTCCACCTGGTCCTGTCCTTGACATGTGGGGATTATTACAATTCAAAGTGAGGTTTGGGTGGGGAAACAGTTAAACGCTATCAGGGGTTCTCAAAGTGTGGGTCTGGGACCAGCAACATCAGCATCACCTGGGGGCTTGCTAGAAATGCAAACCCTCTAGATTCACCCCAGACCTACTGAACAAGAGACTCTGGAGGTGGCTCCAGCAATCTGTTTTCACAAACCCTCAGGATATTCTGACTCAGGCTAAAGTTTGGGAACCACTGCCCTCAACCATACAGCTCCAGACCGAACAGCTCCAGAGAAGGGCCTTTCAGGTCCCCAGTGACAAGGTAATCTCCAGGGCCCTTGGGAAGGATCATGGAAAGCCCAGGACACGAACTCTCCAGAGTTTCTTATAGGGTTCCAACCACTTGAACTTGGCACCATCTAAACTCTGAAGTTAATTTACTCTCTACTTTATTTTATTCATTGGTCTAATCCATAGCTGCAATTTTACAAAACAAAGACCTGGGCTGGGGAGCTTTTCAGGGTCCCATTCTGAAATCATGGCAGTTGGTGGACTATATGTTACATGCCTGGAGAGTTTGGAAGTGTCTGAGTTCTACCTCAGTCCATGCAAGCCAAGGTGGGGTCTTTTTAGTGCATTAAGAGAGGTGCCTCTATCGAGTTCAATATCTCCATTTGGGGAATCCATCTGCTTCCTGCATTTCTATCCACGTTGAAGTGGGCATGTGGGATTTTTGTAAAGAAACTGTAATCCCAGGGTTGCTGCATGGAATAATTCCATGGATTGTGCAGTGCGAGGTCTGCATGGCCACACGTGGTGGCCCTGGGACCCTGTATTAGTTTGTTCTTGCATTGCTATAAAGAAATGCCTTGAGAGTAGGTAATTTATAGAGGAAAGAGGTTTCATTGGCTCACAGTTTTGCAGGCTGCACAGGAAGCATAGCAGCTTCTCTTTCTGGGGAGACCTCAGGAAACTTACAATTACGGTGGAAGGTGAAGGGTAAGCAGGTACATCTTACCTGGCCAGAGCAGGAAGAAGAGAGAGAGGAGGGAGGTATCACACACTTTTAAACAGCTATCTCATGAGATAGTAAAATCTCATGAGAATTCACTATCTCGAGGACAGAACTGGAGGGGATGGTGTTAAGCCCTGAGAAACTGCCCCCATGATTTAATCACCTCCCACCAGGCCCCACCTCCAGCATTGGGGATGGCATTTCAACATGAGATTTGGGTGAGGACACAGATCCAAACCATATCAGACCCCTACCCTCCTTGCTGTCACTCAGAAAAAGGACAACCCCTTCTTTTTCACCCTCCACCCCCAACTGGCTTCACAGATGGGCAGGAAGTTCCTGGAATGTGCCCATCAGAAGGGCGGCTGGGTGAAGGTGGGCTGCTATCTGTTCCCCACCAAGCACTACAGGCCTGATGGCCTCCAGATTGCATCCCTGGCCACTGTATCGGCTCCCACAGCTTATGCTTCCTAGGGGACAGTGTAGATAATCTGGGCACCCACCCACTCCCGCACTTACCCATGACCCACTCCCTCCTTCCCTCCCTCAGCCCAGGCAGCAGTGCCCTCTGCTGTGGCAGCCCTCCATCCATCCTCATCGTTCAGAGGCCTCTGAAAGTATGCCTGTCAATATAATGCATGGCCTGTTGAGGGGAAGTGACATTTTGAATAGTGGACACTTCTCCGGGAGCATTCATCCTAGGTCAGCCTCATGATAAATAAATACATTTGGCGTTCGAAGTCAGCAGGCGGGATACAGGGACCAGAACACAAGCACAGATGCATACACCATAAGGCTGAGTTGATGAGGTGGATGTAGGATGTGGCAGAAAGGGAAAGAGGGAAGGCCCCACAAGCAGATTTTGGGGGCAATTTATTCCCTTTCTTCCTGGTACCTCCAGGGAACACAGGAAGCAAAAGAAGCTACAATTTCCCTTTATTCTTGAACCACAAAAGGGTCTCTGTTTCCTACCACCCCGTCTGTTCCTCACCTGTGCCTCTCCACACCCCCTAAACCCCGGTCCTGATCTTAATTACCCCTAACAGTGTCCTAAACAAAGTATTTAGAAGGCTCACTGTGTTTGTCTTCCTGTTCCTATTAATAAAGTCTGGGAATGTAGAAAAGAAATATAGGCGGGTGACAGGGTTTTTAATGGTGCCTCACCTTAAATGCATTTTAAAATATGTAAATCAATAAAAAAATTATTTGTAATAGCAGCCTAAGAGTGCTGGTTAGCCTGGCGAGGAGTGAAATGCATGCTACAAGCCCTATTACCATACATCCTGGGAGCTGTAGTTAGGATTAATCTGTCAAAGGGGATGGTTTAGTGTTGATGAATATGACATGTGACCATTAACGATGTTGATTTTATCTCCCGAGATTAGCATGATTTACTTCGGATGGATAATAATGTCATTTGCTTGATGCAGTAGATCTGTTTACGAGCTGATTAAATTGTAAGGCCTTGCCTCATTTCATGCTATTTGGTTTACAGCTTCATTACCACAATCACAAAAGCTGGGGAAATGTCCCACATTCCATGTCACAATAAATCACTGCTTCACGTTGCTGGGATGGATTTTAACAGTTCTGCCCAGCACAGACCGTTCTTGGCTCCCCACTAATCTGTGATCCAGAATACATTAGGGGGATCTTCAGGAACACTGGCATGAGAGGGGGCAGGAATCCTCTTGGATCTTTTAATTGAGTGAGATTAAGGAAGTCCTTGAGTAATTAGCTGTAACAAATTACCTTATTATTTAGACAGTGAAGTCACTGTTTTTGTTGCAGGGATGATTA